TCAAGCTTTTACCTTGTGTACGATCCCATGGCGGAGTCGCCTCAGCACTTCGAGGTATTTCTTATCCCCTTACTTGCCCATGATCTGGGCAATCGGGAAAACATCACCATCGACCTTGACGAGCAACAATGGCCGCCATCGACATTGAGAATCCACGTCTTCTCGTCGAGGAGATGGAGGTGGGAGGAGAGGTCCTGGGTCCGCCATGGCGAGCCTGCCGGGACCATGGCCGATATGCTGCAATCCGATTGCTGGGACCGCAAGGCCATATATTTCCGGGGAGCTCTCTATTTGCATTGTCAAAATGATTCTGTCAAAAATAAAGCAGATAGTTTTCCATGGGCTCTATTATCTGTATATGGTGCAGCACAAGAAGAGCACAGAGAACACTTTCTATCATAGTACGAGCTTGTACTAGCCGTGGGGATCTACCCTTAGTAGGGGGAGATTTCAATATCATTAGAGGAACCCATCCGAAAAAAAACAATTCAAGATATAATAATAAGTGGTCACTTTTGTTTAATGTTATTATTGAAACGTTGAATTTAAGAGAGCTGGAGTTGACAGGCAGGAAATACACGTGGGCAAACTATGCAGAGGTTCCAACATATGAAAAGTTGGACCGTATCTTAGTAACAATAGACCGAGAATAAAAATTTCCATTAGCTTATGTCTGGGCACATACCCGAGAGATCTTAGATCATACACCTCTTTTACTAGATAGTGGTGAACCATCTCATAGAGGCAATATTATGAATTTTAAGTTTGAACTAGGGTGGCTAACAAGAGATGGTTTCTTTGGCCTGGTCAAAGAGGTGTGGGAATCTGAAAATAGGGGTCGGTTACCCATGGAGAAATGGCAAAACAAAATTAGAAGGTTGCGACGTTTCCTGAGAGGTTGGGCTAGGAACTTGTCTTCACAAAATAAGAAACATAAATCTAACCTGTTGACTAAGATAGATGACCTAGATAGAAAGGCATTTTGTTGTCACCTCAAGAGATGGAACTTAGACATCATCTCAAAGGGCAATTAACTAAGTTGCTGAGAGAGGAGGAGATTTATTGGCTCCAACGATCAAAAGCAACAAAGTTATTGCAAGGAGATGATAATACTAAGTACTTTCATCTAGTGGCAAATGGGAGACACAAGAAAACAAAAATTGTTCGGCTAGAACAAGAAGGAACGATTGTTGGGGATAGGAATTTGAAAAATTATATAACTGAGTACTATAAAGGACTGTTTGGACCACATACACCGAATTCGTTCTCAATGGACGAGACTTTGAGGCATGACATACCTCAAGTGTCGGAGGACGAGAATGAGGTTTTGACGGCTCCATTCAGCGAGGAGGAGGAGGTTAAAATGGCAGTTTTTGACATTGAACATAACAAAACACCTGGTCTGGATGGTTTCCCTACAGAATTTTATCAATTATTTTGGGAGGTTGTAAAGCCGGATTTGATGAATCTTTTTTATGAATTCCATGCTGGGAGACTGCCTATCCACAGCCTAAATTTTGGGCTTAAAACTAGATTTCGAAAAAGCTTATGACAAATTAAAGTGGCCTTTTATACAACAGGTCCTCAGAATGAAAGGATTCTCACCAACTTGGTGTGAATAGATTTCAAAAGTCATGTCTAGAGGGAGTGTTGCAGTAAAGGTCAATGATAATGTAGGCCACTATTTCCAAACTAGGAAAGGAGTGCGGTAGGGGGATCTGTTATCTCCAATTCTGTTTAATATAGTGGTTGATATGCTGGCTATCCTTATTTCATGAGCTAAAGAGGTCGATCAAATCCAAGGGGTTGTTCTGCATTTGGTAGATGAGGGACTTTCAATTCTTCAGTATACAGATGACAGTCATCTTTATGGGCAATGATCTAGAGAAGGCAAAAAACATAAAGCTTTTACTTTGTGTTTTTGAACAACTATCAGGACTCAAGATCAATTTCCATAAGAGTGAATTATTTTGTTACGGAGCAGCCAAAGCCAACCAAAACGAATATGCACAAATTTTTGGGTGTGATTTGGGGTCGTTTCCTTTTAGGTATGTGGGAATTCCTATGCATCATAGAAAGCTCATGAATAAGGACCGGAAGCATGTTGAAGAACGTTTTCAAAAGAGGCTAAATTGTTGGAGAAGTAAAATGTTGTCGGCAGGAGGGAGGCTTGTTTTGATTAACTCCGTCTTGAGTAGCCTCCCCATGTTCATGCTTTCTTTTTTTGAAATACCTAAGGGGTTTTGAAGAAGTTGGACTATTTTAGGTCACGAGTTTTTTGGCAGAACGATGAACACAAGAAAAAAAATATAGATTAACTAAGTGGGAGGTAGTATGTACGTCGAAAGATCAAGGAGGGTTGGGAGTCCTAAACTTAGATGTTCATAACGAATGTCTCCTAAGCAAATGGTTGTTTAGGTTACTGAATGAAGATGGGGCCTGGCAACAATTGCTTAAGAATAAGTATTTAAGAAACAAAACTTTGACACATGTTCAATACTTGCCTGAGGACTCCCACTTTTGGGCTGGTCTAATGAAGGTCAAGGAGGAGTTCCTCTCGTTAGGCAAGTTTGATCTAGGTGACGGGTCTCAAGTGCGATTTTGGGAGGACTCGTGGATAAGACCACGTCCTTTAAAATCTCTCTTTCCCGCATTATATAATATTGTTAAGAGAAAAGGCGCATCTGTAAGAACGGTGTTGCCTATGACGTCGTTAAATGTGGCTTTTAGGTGATCTCTGGTAGGTGTTAATTTACAAGCGTGGCACGATGTGGTTGCTGTGGTTTGCAGATGTACAATTAACAAACCAGAGGGATCGTTTTGTGTGGGGACTACATCAGAATGGATTGTTTTCAGTCAAATCCATGTATAGAGCTTTATTAGGAGTTGAAGCTATACCATATAACACATTTATATGAAAACTGAAACTACCCCTTAAAATCAAAGTATTTTTGTGGCATTTGTATAAGGGAGTAGTCTTAACAAAGGACAATTTAGCAAGGAGGAAGTGGCAAGGGGATAGAAAGTGTTGTTTCTGTTCTTCTGATGAACTGTTCATGTTTCCTTTAATTTAATTCCTCCAACTAGCGTTCATAATTTGTTTACATGCTGGTTACACGGGATAAATAGGAAACTAAAATATAAGATTCTTGTGGGCGCAAGTGCAATTTGTTGGACGATATAGTTAACCCGTTCTAAAAAAAAGCTACTAGGCATCGTCGTTTCATCTATTATCATCATCATTATTATTATTGTACAACTGCATGCTATATATATATATATGATTTATTTGCTCAATCTAGTGCTAATTAAGCACACATGCATATATATTCATGCTTTTTGTAATTAATTAATTGTAGGATAGCCTTGTCCAGTGACAAGTACCAAATGATGAAATCTCCGGCGGCAGGTGGCAAACTTGTTGAGGGTGCTACCTTTTATTTGGGAAAATCAGAGAAAGGGGTATACTCTACGTTACTTTATTGGGTCGACTGCGGTCGCTGCCCCCAGTTTCGAGTCTGGTTCCTCAAGGAGGAGGAAGAAGAAGAAAATGATCACATTCACATGGAGTGGGTGTTGAAGACTAACATCAGCCTTCCACCGCTGCTTGCAAATAGACGCCCTCTTCTTCACAGCGGCTTTGCTGATGATGAATTGAGGGTCATCCGTGACTATAATAACAAGGAGGAAGTACCACCTGCTGCTGCACATGGCGACGACAGCCTGTTCGCTTGCTCGTAAACGATCGTAAATTTTCAGCCGGAAACAGTGTTTTTCTCTCACACCAAACCAGCCAGCAGTAAATAATCCACGATACGATACGGCCTCTCGAACAATGCTGACACTGTCCTCGATGAAGCCAAAGATAATAAGCTCACTGAAGCAGACGGGCACTACCCTGTTGATTTCCTCGGATTTCATCCTTACAAAGAGATTGTCTTCTTTTGCGTACCATCTGGGACAATATCTTATAATTTGAATACCTCAAAGTTTCAACAGTTGGGCGGACGTATACATATACCAGTGGGCATGAGAACCTGTTTCCCATACACGCCATGCTGGATACGGGGATTATTTGAAAACAGTTGATTTAAGTGGCCTGTATCAAATATATTTAGACTCTGTTTATTTGGAGCTAATGTAAGGCATGTTGACCCCCCGGCACTTGCTTATAAGTATGCATGTAATAATCAGAGTGCACATACATCTTCAACTTTATTTTGTCTAATAAATTATCTTTTGGTCATGCATATTTGCTTTTATTTTTATTTATTTTTTGGCAGAAAATAAATCTCTCTAGTTCACTGCGTGCATCTCGCACAAAGTTAAAGGCGCACTTAAGTAGCTACTAGCTGCACACCTTTTTAAAAATAAAAAAAACGGTGGACTATTATTTTAGTTACTAATTGAATGCACGTTGTTTCAATTCAATCGAAAATAGAGTGGAGTATAACACAGTACCAAATAGTAATTGATTTTATAGGGGCGGATCCACATATCTGGCCAGCCAACAGAGTTCCTAGGCTCAGCCCGGCCCTTGGCACTTGTCTTCCCAGCCCCTTCAATTTAATTCGTGCTATATATTAGCTAGCATCAACAATGAATGATTAACGATGAAGACAAGTGTGTTTTGCCCTTGCTTCCTACGGAGTACAGTTCTACAAGCGCACCCTAATATATGCATTACACAATACAGTTGGACTGGATGAAGCATGCATCTGAGTAAGCCAATGACAAGGAAACACGCTGTTGGACTGGCAGCGCATGAGCGATAGATGCACTGAAACGGCGTGCCAATCTTATCGGATCAAGTCCACCCATAGTTCAACAAACTTTAATACTTGATTTGTTTGTTCGTTACAAGACAACACATACATAACCAATGTACCATTTCTCTAGTATAACAGCAATCCAAGCATCGTACCACCGCAAATGAGTGGTATACAAATTACACGATACAGTGTCAGTCAAAGCAACCAGCTCCAAAGCCTTGTTGCTTGTCACTCGGCGCCATCCCCTGAATGCCTGCAATGGCACACCATACGTTCACACGGTGTTCCCGGACAAAAGAAATTGCATTGGACACACATTATGATGGAGGGGCGATTAATCAATCGATCCCCAGCTACCTCCAAGATGTTGGCAGATTCCGAGATTTCCGGTCTAACTGGACACTTTCTAGAGCAGCCGATGCCCGCAGCACCTCTTCAGATATATCATCGGCATCGTATCTCCAGTTGTACTCATCTTTCCTTGTGTTATTGGAAGCTGAAGATCCCCCTCTGCGATCTGAAAGTACACGTACCAAGTGGACTTGTTTCAGAATTCGGAACAACACAGCTACGTACCATAAACTGAAACGATTACATAGCAGTGCACAAACCTGATGCCTGCAACGAAGAGATTGGCCTGGCAATTTCAAAGTACTATATGTTACACTCACATCCAAATATCTAATGCCAAAAACAAATAGCTGTGCATATTTATAACGGCACAGCGGTATGGCATCACCCTTACCTCCCCATAGGAGGCAGGCTCCCAACTGACGCTGATGGTGGCCTCCTCATGCTCCGGTGTTCAGCATTTAGCGATGGATCAGACTCTGAACTCATCATCCTCCTGCCGCCCATCCTTGTTTGAGACAAATTCTGCCCAACACAACATATTTAGATGACCAAAGCATGCTGTAGAAAACCAAAACTTTTAAGCTAGAGCATATTGACTATATTTGGAGGTTAATAATAAATAAACTTGTTATTAATAAAGTATAAGAACAGTGAAAACCAAGCTGGGGAAAAAAAAATCAAATTTTGTGTGTGCAGTGAACTAAAGGTCATAGGCAGAAAGCAGCATAAATGCAGCTCATACCCCAAGCACCACAGACCATCAAAAGGAGACCTTGAGTACAGGCCTTGCATCAATAAGTTGAGATTGGAAAATTATATGTAAGCAGATCTCAGTACAATGATAATGACAATGCATTGTAAATATAAATCCCATGCATGCAGTGCAAGACAACTGACCAAACTCAGAAAAGAGTATATCAATTTTTATCCATTCTGGTTATTCTTAGAATCATTCTATACATTCTGACAATGATTGGGTCTTGATAAACCTATCTCCTTAAGCTTCCAGAATAAGAACACCTACCTTTTGTTCTAAGGCAATACCTTGATGAGTATTGTAGTTGTGGCAAACAATCTAATTTTTTGGACAGTTTGATTAAGCAAGACACCAATAGTATGAAGGATTATTGCTCACAACTCAATATACTACCTTTTCTACATAGCGAACATAATGCATAAGAGGATTCCATACTACTGTAACAAATAGCCTGGCTAAAACAGGCTAAAATGAATGTGGGTACAAATAGTGGTGTAGTGCCTAAAACAGCTATAGCTGGCTATAGCGGCAGCTATTGCCAGAGATTTGTTACCTTGATCCATACAGGACTACACAGTTTTCTGGGGAAAAAAGAATTGGCTACATTACCACAAAAGCTTTCCCCCTTTTTTGTCTTTACTGGGAAACATAAAGAAACAAAAGGATGATTTTTGCTTCTGCTAATGATCACGCGAGAGATAAACCTCATATTTCAGATAACCTTCAAGAACATCTAAAAGCATTGGACCACTTTCAGCACTCCTGCTCCCTTCAGCTCCACTTTTGTTAGAAAAGTCTTTCAGTTCATTCTTCCAGAAGTCCTTGGGCTGATTTACAAACAAAACCGGGAAACATTAATGGATGTTGATTCCCGAAATGCAAAAACGAAATATCAGGAACGGTCACCACTTACCAGGTTACACTCTGGCAAGTAAACTTTCATTGTGTGACTTAGTTGCGCCCACCCAAGTATTCGCATACAAGTGCAGTTAGTAACCTACCTGCAAGCAACAGAATTCCTAGAATGTAAAACATTCCATGTTATGTGCAGCTTGCAAAACACATGGCTAAACTTAGTACTGAAAATCATTTTAAGGCCAGCACAACAACCTTAAACATTTGAGATGTCCTTGATGGGACTTAAAAACAACAAAATACATTATTGAAATGCTTCTTTGAATTATCACCAGTGCAGAAGCATTCAAATCCAAAGACTCACCCTAGTCATCAATCAGGAGAAAAAAAATGTGTATCTTTCAGGTTTAGTCCTAAATCGCTTGCTAAAAAATGGCATAATTTCCAGCAGGGAAAAGATTATCATGCAGCAGAATATCAACCTTTGTCCTTCTCGAATATTTCAGAACAGTAGTATAAATTTCTACAGGTCAGTATATGAGAGAAAGGGTGTATATATCGTGCGCAGCATTAGAGACAAGCTTCTCTTGATTTCTTTTGTTTTGATAATGCATCAGAGACAAGCTTTGGCTTCTGCAGACATATTTGAAACAACTGATTAGACAGCACATTCAAAGGGCAAGGCAAACCTGAAGGTGAAGCATGCAGTTGCTTAGCTCGGTCATTACAGCTACCAAGCAAAGCAGGATTCCCGCCATCATCATTCTCCACCACCCGATCCTCCTCTTCAATGGCTTCAAACACGCTTGCTCTTAGCTCAGCCTAGTCATGCAGCCAGAAACATCATCAGGAAAGGTGGCGGAAGTATGTGCATTCATTGGACCATAGCATGCTTTCAACAGATAAAAAGATAGAAACCCAAGCTAACTGTATTTATCTATGTTACACACAAATAGATTCTTTTGTCCACCCCCCTCCCTGGCATCATACCATTAGAGTCGAAAACTCAAAAGAGCACTGAGAAGTTTAGGTGCAATAGTCACAACACAACACGAAAAAAAAAAGATTTCCAGTAACACAGACGCGTTTCCTCCTAAGGACTGTGCCAAGAATGGGCACGCCAACTGGTAATGACAACTAGACCAACAAAATAATACAAGGTGAGTCTTTTCTTCAGCAATGTGCGAGCAACCTCATATGCTCCGAACGAGTTTTACCAAAATGAGCACACGAATTGGTAATGGCAACTAGAACAACAAAAATGGACGTGGTGAAAAAAACTTTTCTTGAGCAATGCGTGAGCATTCTTTCATATTCCTAAACAAGAACCTACCCAACAGCGCCCAGGCGCTCAGAATGTGCACATTAGAAATTGAAAAAAAAAATCCGCGGATTTGGGAAGGAAATTGGCAAATTGCAGAAGCGGAGGTGTAGATCCCCAGACCGGAGGGGGAGGAAAATCTAGATCCGTGGGGCGTGGTGGAGGAACCGGATCAATGGAGGGGTTGGGGAAATGAAGAAGTGGGAAGTACGAACCCTAATCTTGGCGAGGACACCCTTCTTCTCGAGGGTGCGGGTGACGAGCGTCTTGAGCTCCATCATCTCCCGGGCGTAATCGTCCATCCCCGCCTGAAATGAAGTCTAGGGATGGCGAGTGGGAGCACGGAGGAACGGAGGGAGCAGGAGCAGGCAGTTCTCCTCAAACAGAGAGAGAGACAGGAGAGGGAGATCGAAGATGAACACGACAACGCCAGAGGTTGGGGAACGTCGTAGGCTAAAGGTTGACTGACAGGTGGGCCCAATAATTTTAGCTTTTTTATTTCGTTATTATTATACTTATCAGTTATATAAACAAAAAGAATTCACCAATTTTTTTTTAAAAGGTATGAGTCTATTTGCCCAATTTACAACTTCACCTTTTTAATTAATTAAAATAGTTTAATTATATACACCGTTTGCATTTTATTATATAGCCTACTAGAACATTTATTGTTCAAATGGTATCCATAAATTATGGATGATTTCAAAAACATAAATCAAATCTAACAAGTTATGATCTACACAACAAAAACATTTTTTATGAAAAATATAAAGGCACTTTAGATATTGATACAAATGAATTCGCATTAACCATTTGCCTACAAAATAACGAACATAGCATTTTCTCAAAAAAAAAAACTTTACGCAAAGTTCATGTGTACAACCGCCTACCATCACCAAGTGAACATAACACTTTAGATATTAGCATGTTCGCTTGTTGGTTTCAGCCAGGGCTTATCAGCCAGCCAACAGTGTTTTTCTCTCACAACAATCCAGCACCAGCCGGGCTTATCAGCCCAGAAACCAACCGACGAACAGGCCGATTGATACAAACACTCATGTTGAACATTTATTGCAAAATGAACTCGCACTTAAGTGTAGTTATAAGCCATTAGTTTCCTAATTACACCAAAGACAATTGTCTTTATTTTATTTACAACTCCAAGTCACTCTAGCACTTTGACATAACCAACTATAGGATTCATCATTCATATAGGTCAATGCCAATTGCATGCTCTTTGATCTCCTAGCCTACCCTTATTTCAGAACATGATAACTTGCTTTGGTTGGCTTCCATGTCTACCTAGGGTCTTCTCCAGTCGAGCTAAACTCATTGAAAGAAATCAACTCCATCTTGTAAACAAATCAATATATTTCCAAGGACTCACTTTTTTTTTCTATTTACGGGCACGACAATGTCTAGATGAGAGCATGTCAACAAGATTTAACAGCAAACTAACAACAGAATGACATTACATACTCATATTTGAGTTTGCCTTCGTGCATTAGGTCAAAGAGGTAGTCTATCATTGTTCTGTAGTCTCCTGTTTTATCTGAGTTCACCTACTTCTGGAGCTAGAACCCTCGTAGGGAAAGATCCTTTGAAAACATATATTACATTGTGTTAAGGAATTTTTAGATATAAACAATATCATATAACACAACCGAAACTCACTATCCCATGAATACAACATGAAACCATCCATAAAATAATTTGTTTGATGGTTTTTTCTCCCATTACAGCGCAAGCGCATGCAAGTTTGCTAGATAGAGAAAGAGAAAGAGAGATATTTTAGACCCACATGCGTATTGCAATCGTAGAAATAATATACACACACAATCTTATTTTCATTGCACCCGCATGCATAAAGATGGATTGAGATTATTAATTAGTCCTTAACATACATTATTGTTCTTATCTACATCACATTCATGCATAGACACACATGCATCTTCATCATCTAATATTTTATTTTTTGCTTCCTTTGAGCAAATTAGCATGTAGCTTCATGGATCAATGCATGTTTAGAACATATCGGCGTGAGCTGCATCAGGAGGAGGCAGTGTCTCTCCTGTGGCCTCCAATAATATATCTTGCAGGGGAGCCTCTAATTCTGGGGGTGTGGCGGCACGAACTAGAGCCCAGTTTATGCCACAGAAGAATGGGTGTTGTTTGATCTCCATGGCGCCCTTGTAGGAACCTAGCCTATTTGCAGGGTCCCGGTGTAGCAATTGGTATATCAACCTTCTTGCCGCAAGGCTCACCTACAATTAACATATATACATCACAAACACTTGCTGCAAGGCTCACCTACTAGAATAAATGCTTTTATTATTACCTGTATGCTCTCAGGAAATCTGATATCCTTGTGCAGAATATTAGCAAAGGTCCTTTGTCTTGTCTTCCCTCTGAACGGTGTATAACCATACAACATCTCATATAGAAGAATTCCTAATCCAACAAATAGGGAGAATACTCATTATTATATAGTAGCGTGTATTATACATGTTTCCTTTAGCACAAGATTAGTTACCTAGCGCCCACCAATCTACAGCACTTGTATGGCCGGCTCCGGTAATAATCTCCTACAACATGCATACAAGGATTGATGCCACAAATGGTGATGGCTATCACACATGTCAAATAGAGACAAGAAATGAAAATGTTGGGAAAATCACATAAATAAAGCGAAGTAACAACATATATACACACACACACACACACACATACTGGTGCAATGTACTCCTCTGTACCAACAAAAGAATTTGATGCTCGCATTGGTTCAGCAAAGAATATGGGATTGCTCCTGCTCTTCCTCCTCTTTTTCTTCTTATCATCTTCTGGAAGAAACACCTATCAAACAACAAGAATAATCATGAAGTGCATCTAAGAAAATAGACTAACGAGTTAAAATAATAGTCATGAAATTGTCTAGTAAGGTTATTAATGAAGTGACATTACTTGTGGCCGGCAGGATGTCAAGCAAGACAAATCAAAGTCTGTCAGGGAAATGTGCCCATCTCTTTGAAGTAAAATGTTCTCTGGCTTTAAGTCTCTGTAGATTATACCTAAGAAAAAAAGAATAGGGGAGCAAATGCTTAGAAATAGTAAACATCTCAAGTTTCTCTAGTAAAATGTGATGAATAAGTGCAAGGAACCCTTCCCCTTTGTCTTCTAAGGAAGCCTAGCACTTTCATGAATGCTTAAATTCTTACCTAAAACTAGCCCTAGGTATAATTAATCAAAGAACGAAGACCGAACCGAACTAACTGAGACCAAAATTTTTGGTCACTAGTTCGGTCACGAGTCCATACTACCTAAACTTTTTACGGTTAGTTCGGTTACGTGCCTCAGGTAACCGAACTAACCGAACATTTGCTTGAGTTATGTTGACATAATGTGTACTTTAGACTATTGTAAGTAGTATAATATTTATTCTAATAGGTTTATATCAACCATCACTCTTATCACTTTGTTTAATCTATAAGCCGTGTTGTTATTTTTGCCTTGAAATAGAAAAAAATATTGCTAAAATTTGCTACAAATTATGCTATTTAGTAGCTATTTTGTCCAGTCCGGTTAGTTCGGTCATGACCGAGACCTTCGGTCATGACCAAGACTGAACCGAACTAACCTAGACTGAACTTGCTCGGTCCTGAGTTCTAGAACTAACCGATCGATCTTCGTTTTTAGATGATCGAACTTTTGAAAGGACCGAGGAACCAATCAGTTCGGTTCGGTCAGACCGAACGCCCAGTCCTACCTAAAACAATCATTCGAGATGTTGGCAAATAATTACTATTGGTCAAGCAAAACAATATGGTTATTGAATATTGGGTTGTGTTTGACTATCCACTACATGCATGGTACCCACCACCACCAAAGAGAATTTCATTTATATAATTAGTATGGCATATATGACTACCTTGGCAATGTAGGTATTCAAGTGCCGTGACCACTTCTGCAGCATAGAACCTGCAATAATCATGGACAATTACATAAAAAATACTTCTTGGGTTCTTTATCCAACTACCAATTATATTATGTAACAACAAACAAATTAAGGATCAGAGTAGCATATCAATGACAATGGAGAAGCATAAAGAGTTTTCACTAAATCTAAGCAAAAGAAACAATTTCAATGTCAATACCCACCTAACCGCGTCTTCCTTCAGTACCTTCATAGGTTGTCTATCGAGGAGCATAAAGAGTTCCCCGCCAGCATAATAGTCGGTAATAAAACATACATGTGTCTTTGTCTGCAACATATATATGACATTGAGATGATAGTCATCCATAAAAGTATAATAAAATCAAGGAGAACAAACATTAACAACCCTGACACCATATTAATATATTACACAGATTCATTATGCAACAAACCTGAAATGATGCATACAATGTCGGAAGGAATGGGTGGTCCAACATATCCAAGATTTGTCGTTCAGCGGTAGCTCTATGGACCTAGAGGTATTATAGACAAATCGGATGAGAAAGAAACAATTAAAGGTGGAAGTAACTAAAATGTCATGTGTGATGAAACCTATTACTCATACCTTGTTTCGGTTAAGCATGACACTTTTATCCATAGCTTTCATGGCAAAGTATTCACCTGTGCCAAGCAACTCCACCAAGTGGACACTACAATTCAACAACAACTCACATGTTTACTATTTAAAACATATATAGGAAATGAAAACTAGAAAGGAGTATGTCTACTGGATTCATGCAAACTTAGTCATTACTATACTTGAAACTATAATAGAGAAGTACTTACCTGCCAGTGTCACCAGATCCTAAGGGTCTTACTGGTCTAAAATGTTTCAAATCGATGCTTTCACCATTCTCAAGAACCTACAAGAAAAAATATCATGAACCATCTAGGAGATTTCTAAAAAAATGTCATATGTGCTTGTTTCCAGTGGTTTCCAAATTAGGCATATAATATTGCAGAGACTACCTAATTCTATGGAAGAATGCATGCCAATTGCTTTCTCAAGTGTTTCATGATTGTTCCCTTTCATCTAGTAGGCTCATAAATTGCATGTAAGTATCTATGTTGTGAACTATGTATAACATACCTTTTGGATGGCTCTCCATGATGCGGTATCCTTCATATGTGGTTTTGGCAAGACTGGTTTTGAGTGATTAGCCCATAGATCCTCTGGTCTCTGAATATAACCACAAATTTCTTCTTAGTAATACTTAATTTTATATTATATAAAATTAATATTTTTTTAGACGAACCAAATTAGCATCCGGAAGTTCCTTTGCAGCCTCATCAATATTGTCCGCAGTTTTCTTAACCTAGTATATGAATAATTCAAGTTAATGCATAAGACAACTATGTTTTCCAACAAGGAATTTAGAAAAGTAAGGTACATAAAATTTAGTTGTCAAAATCACTTTATGCAAACTAAAACACAAAAGAAGTCAATTAAGGAGGGAATTCATCAGAGCACTAAAGAACTGACCTTAAAGATGCCATCTATGGAACTTTACCACTAGTCTATGAGTCCAGTGTTGATCATTAGGGTTTAATAAATATAAATCTTTAATAACGCTAGATGATGCTAAATGCTAATAAACATTGCAAGTACTACACTATGGATGGCTTGCATTTATAACAGAGCAGTCACGATAAAGTTGTTTGGCATTGTATTCTCAATTTTTTTTCCAGATATTTGTGATAGCAAGCCCATATGATAGCAAGCCCATATGTGCTAGTCACCATTAAGGTAGAAACAAACCAGCATGGCACCATCTTTTGCAGCAGCATCTCGAACACGCTCAGTTCCATCCAACTGAACCCCAATGAAGTATTGAACATCACCCTAATCAACCATTAAATTGGATGCTTCTCAAATCACATGAAATAGTTCCAAACCAAATATCTAGGTAAAAAAGTTTCATATCTCTTATTACGGTACCTTCTGATCACGCATAGGTTGCAAGTGAAAGAGGTTCCAGAATTTTTTACCTGCTCAAAACCACAAGAAATTTTAGTTTGATTCATTACTATAGGAAAAAAACATTTGCACATTATTAGCCTCTATATGCCTGCAGTACTAATGCAGTAACAGAACACTAGAGTGATGTACTATTATAAATGTTTGGGGTATAGAAATTGCATCATGATCTTACAAGAACATGGAAGCATGTGAAGAGTATGTACCACTCTTTGTATAATTTATCAGCTGAACGGTAACTTCTGTTTGGTTATCTATGGCATCTCTTATCTTTTTTACTGTCCCACGGTCAGTTTCAGGCCCTTGAAGAAACCTACAAGGGAAGCATAAATAGGTGAAGGGATTCATTAAATCATTAGTCACTATAATATGTAGTTTATGAACAGTTGAAAGCAATGAATTTAGGTAATATTTAATGTCATAATTTACCTGCAATTTCTTCCCAATATTTCTTCGCGTGAATACTCTGTTAGTCGTAAAAAGCTATCCGATGCAAAAATCTGTGACATTCACCCGAAAATATAATGACGTAGTTCAATGGAAGGTTGATATCTATGTTGATAGAAAGAAAAGAACAATGATGTTAAAGGTAGAAGATATATGAGTTTTTGTCTTACAATTGGATTATCCGGTAACCTCGGGTCAGTGATGACAAAATTCTTTTCAATACGTTCAAGCGTAGTAGCCAAATCTATACCCCTTCTCATTTCTTTCCTCCTAAAATCATCATCAAAGCTTTCTGATCTCTCATCATCGCTATCAAGTAGCGTATCTTCCCTTGGTTTTAGAATGTTCTTCTCCACATTTCCATGACCCATACCAATAAGACTGCACAAACGAATTAAATGTGAGAACAAATGCAAAGATAATAGAGACTCTACAAGGAAACTTTGAAATAAAGCAAATGCTATGATTATATCATGTGGTTTATTATCATACCCCATAAAGGAACGCAAACCAGATTTCCTGGTCTTATTCCCTCCTTCGGGCACTTCACTAATTTTTTTGTAGAGAGTTTCTCGTTCCACTCGTGAGTTACGGGTGGGATCCACTTTGAGCTTCTCTTGCGGGTACTTCATCACCGAAAGCACATCTCCCGATTCTGTGATTTCCTTTTTAAGGTATTGTTTCTTGATTCGACAATGACCGTGGATCCTTCAGAGGGCAAGTAGAAGCTCCGAGAGGCGAAAGCTACGGGCATGATCCTTCGTCTTCTTGCCAAAAAGAGTATTATTGTTTTCACAGTGTGTGCAAGGTAAAACCTTCTTTTTTTTTGAAAAGTAAGCAAGACTACTAGTAGTAATAGTACCATCATATTTGATGAGTGACTCGGCAATCCATTTGGGCGAAGAGTCAGATCCTTGCTACCTTCTCGTGTACTTACTCACTTCCACTTGCATCCTGTGACACATTGCACACCAAGGTTTGTAATAATAATAACTATAGTGCTGAACAAAACTATAAAGTGGCATGATGATATATATATGATGAAAAAGCTGACCCAATGAACTTGAGGACCCTGCCATCCTCATCCTTGATGGGGGCAACGGTTAGGAGGTTCCAGAATGGTGTACCATCCTTCTTGTAGTTGAGAATACGACCACAGTAATTTGACCCAGCTGCGAGAGCCTGCCTGATCTTCGCAATCTCTACGGGGTCGGTCCCAGAACCTTGAAGGAAGCGGCTGCAGTTGAGAGATGGTGGAGGCATAAGTGCAGTGCGTACTAGTTGGAGTTGTATGTATCTATGCATTAAATTGAATTGGATTGGCATGGAATAGAATAGAATAGAATGAAATGGAATTGAAATCGACGAACCAGTTCCTTCCGACGACCTCATTGGAGGAGTAACCAGTCATGTTGAAGAATCCAGCACTGGCGTAGAGGATGGGGTGGTCAGGGCGGGTGGCATCGGACACGACGAAGGTCTGCTGGAACGCAGAGAGTGCGGCGCGGAGCTCCTCCGACACTCGGGGGAGTGCTCTACCAGCGGCGATCCTCTCGTCGATGGAGTTTCCACTCTCGCTGGTGCGGTTGGAGCTGCCGGAGGGGCGGGCGACGACGCCCTGGGGGCGGCCGGTGTGCTCGTCAGTCTGGAGGACAAGGCCCCACTCGGCGGCCCTCTGTGTCGCCCGACCCACGTCAGCATCCTCATCATCCCCGGCGAGGCTAGGATGGGAAGCAACTGCAGGAGGGAGGAGGAATGGGGAGGTGGTCGCCCGATTTGAAGCGGCGGCAGCGGAGTCTGGATTGAAGACTTCGAGCGATCCGCGGGAGTCACGCGGAAGTCCTGCACCACACGAGATTAGTGTTGTTCATCTACCGCATGAATGAAAATTCATAAATACTAATGCCATCTCTCTTCTCATTAAGATATCTATATTTCGATACAAACACATGTCTAGCAAAAAGTAGAGCCAGGAGAGGCTTTGCACAAACGAGGTACAATAATTTGATTTTTATGTATATATATGTCCGGATTATGTAAAAGGTCTATATCGTCTATCTAGTAGTAGTAGTAGTAGTAGTGACGATTTCCATGTGAGCATTGCATTTAATGATAGAAAAGAAAAACCATATGTTTAAGTCATTGCTAGCTCTCTGGATAGGTTGGGTGTTTGCCAGTTGGATGCACATATTTGCAGGTGCGTGCATGATGTATGCATATGTAAAGTTAGCTCAGGTAACTACAATAATGCTGGTCGGAATTTTTTCCATCCCTCTGTCCGTCTCTGTCCATGCAACCTATTCGGTTGCAATACACGAGTATATTTACTAGTTAAAAAGGAGGTAAATAAAGGAGAGAGATGCTTGTTGATGGATGTACAGGATCGAACAAATTGTACAAGATCGAGTAAAGATGGAAAGGATGTATGCATGTAAAGACGAAAAAAAGCATATGGGTGCATGTGAGAAAGACAGCAGTACTCACATGCTCAGGTAGATACTAGTACTCCGTAACAAATTATTAGAGAAAAGGAAGGTAATTATATGAGGATGGTATTAATTGGTGGATGTCGTCGTCCAATCCAAGTTAAGGGGGTGTTTGGTCTGAGCTACTAAACTTTAGTACTAAATGGTTTAGTCATTTTTAGTAACTCTAGAGTTACTAGAGAGGACTAAAATCCTTTTAGTAGCTTTTAGTCATAGCGTTTGGCAAAAAAGTTACTAAAGTGACTAAAAGCTACTAAATTTAGTAGCTACTAGGTGAACCAAACATGCCCTAAGTCGTGCACACGTGTCAGAAGAAGCAATGATGAATTTGGAGGATGCTTGACAGTGGCCGGCCGGCTGGGTGACTGGGTCGCATATATTGGATGATGGATCGGATAAGGAAGAATTTTCAGAACCAATCAAAAGGAAGCTAGCTAGCGCTATCTGGAGTAGTACCAAATTTATATATTCTGAAGGGAAAAAGGGAATGAATCTAGCTGATGACCAATGTTAATACATCTATAAATAAGCCCAATATATATTATGATTAATAATCTATCGAAATTAAGTTAGGATGCAGGAGTATATTATATATATTCATCTGCTATGAGTACATATTACGTACTCATAAAACCAGTAGTTTTGTGTAGCTAGCTTTGCTAGAGCGCTGAAAGTAAATTACTACCCCCTCGACTGTAAATTGTAAGCCGCTTCAAGTTACCACTACCGAGAAAAGTCAAAACGACATAATTTAGAAGAACGGAGGGAGTCGAGCAGAGCAGAGCAGCTTGCAGTTGCAGAGGGCATGGGTGATACTATCTAATTATTACATTACAGGTATAATAAAATTCTCAGATAGATGCATCATCAACAAGCAATTAAATAATTAGTACACAGTATCTATAGGTACGTACCTTTGAAAGCCGCCATTGATAGATAGATGCAGTAGTAGTATAGGTCGTAGCTAGATAGATGTTTACTTGCTACTCCGGTGGGTGGTGAGCAGATTCGGATATGGATCGATCGGAGCAAGCAGCAAGGCTGTCGTCAGTCGATGCTACTCCGCCTGCGCCCGGCGGCTCTGCTGCTGGTGAGTACTGGCGCTGCTATATAGGATCGGATCACATAGGAGCACGGCGGAGTGCCTTGCTTAATTGCTTGTTGCTGATTGGGATTGTTTTGGCATGGGGATGCGATGGCGGCCCAGCAACTAGTAGCTAGCTAGAGAGTGAGAGAGAGAGAGATGAAGCAAGGACAGCTAGGCTAGCATATGCAGACGAGATGGATAAAATACAGACACACAGGATCGAGCCGGCCACTGCACCGTACCGATCCAGGCCAGCCAGGAGATTGATATTGATACTTACTAGTAATTAATTCTCTTCTCTTTTCTTCTCTTCTACAGTAGTGAGATCGAGATGATGCAGTACTACTGTTTCTGTCTCCCTCCCTCTATCTGTATGCAACTAGCTAGGTGGGCATGCATATACCGGAGACAGCGATGCATGTGCATCACGAAAGACAATGAGATGAGATGGACACAGATGGCCCTGCCCAGCCCATGAGAGCACGCTAAGAGCGAAAGCAAGGAGGCATCGGATCTGACGCCAATGACCACGACGTACGCGCTGCCTAGCTCAAGAAGCAGAGCACATGGCCGGCCACACTTCATTATCTAGATACAAGATTGTTTAATCCTTCCAACCTGATATACCTGCACCCATGCATGTGTTTCGACTTTCAGCCACACTTCATTCATTCACTCGTCGCTCCTTCAGTGCACGTAGACTAATAAGGCCAGTATCAGCGCAGACTTTCATTGCATTGTTTTCAAGATTGTCATGTCATACAGAATGGAATAAAACTTGGATGAAATATCCACTCTCAATGCGCAGTTTCATTCATTTCATGGTTTCGTAGACATTTAATTTAAGACTCGTATAGAGTTGGTAATCATACCAAAAGAGTTTCATCTCCCATGAAACTCATTTCTTCTCTCTCTTCATTAAAGCATTGCCATGTCATAAAAAAATACATACGTGGCAGGCTATCAAATACAAATGAAACTCTAGTGAAACTCCCACTGAGACTGGCGTAATAATCTTCTTCCTAATATGTCCGTGTATCGAAACATGCGTGCATGCAGCATGATTCCTAACTACTCTCTCCATTCCAAATTATAAGACCTTTTAACATTTTTTAGATACGTAACTTTTGCTATGCACTTATGTCTAGAACTCTAGATACATATATAGTAAAAATAATGTATCTAGAGAAGTCAAAACGTCTTATAATTTGAAACAGATCGAAGGGCATATCAAAGAAATAAGTTATGGGGAGGTGCTACCTGCTATGTGCCTGAAAACTAAATACAAAGTTCTTTTGATGGATTCAGGCCATTAGATCACGATCAAATGACACTGGGACTAGCTTTCTTCTTCTTCCTCCTCACAACAACATTTCTAATGCGCTGCACTGGTCTCCTTGCTTTAATTTCCAACCTCCTCCAGCCACGACTAGGAGGGCAACGGGCCCCGATCCCTGACGGGGAATTCATCCATTAGAGGATGAAAATGGGGTGAATTTAATTTGCTAACGGGCGAGAAACCAACCCTGTCGAGTGAAGCGGGTGTGAGGGTGTTCTCCAACTCCTCGTGGAGGAAAAATTAGGTGTGCGCATCACACAACCATCCTCTCTCCCAACCTCAGCCGCCATCCTCCTCCGACACTACCTTGATCCCCCTCCTCTCCTAACTGGTGATGTCACTGGTGGACGGAGGAGCGGGGAGCCGGTCCTTTCTCCTTTGTAGTTTTAGGTTAGGTTTGTTGATCCTTGTTGATCTAGGGTTTGGTTTTTGTGTTTCATTGGTTAGGGTTTGGTTTCTGGTGTCACCGGTGAGGTAGTGGCGACGATGGTACTTTGGAATAAGGTATCTCTGATCTATCCCTACCTCTATGACATTCGATCTGGCATCGGGGAAGGTCTTGTGAGAGTTTGGTCTACGTTAGATCTGGCGTCGGGGAAGGGTCTGTTAGAGTTTGCTTTGTCATGTCTATTGATCTTCTTCAGATCTTGGCATTTGGTGTGTCTATCAGGCAAAGCAATTGGTTGGCTTTTGACGCAGTGATCTTGACCTCTTCTTTTGGTCTATTTTATAGCAAGGTCATCATCCCCAACACTTTGTTCTGATGGTGTAGGATTGTAAGCCTACATTCTTTCGAGGGTTCCTCTAGTCGATGTTCTTTCAGTAGGTTCTAGATCTCGTTGTCAGCGGCGAGTGGCTTATGTGGTCTTCAAAGCCTTGTCCAACGAGTGTGTTTCTAGGTGTCCCTTTTCTTTTGTTGTCTTTTTAGTGTGATCTTTAAGCTTCGGTAGGCAGTGAACAATCGTAGGAAGAAGATGACTATTTTGGTTTTTGACGTACTCTTTCTAGAGGTTTGTTTTTGTGTCTTGTTGTCCATCGTTTTGTGCTACTAGTCTTTGTTTTCCTCAAGATATATCAGATGTGAGACACTCTATCGAGTGCTTTTAAAAAAAATACATCCGCACATACTCCTTTAAACCCAAGGGATTGAACTAGTAGAACTTAAGATTTACAAAGTCAGTGGTGAACCTAGAAGAAAAATAAGTGGGACGTACTCTAGCCACAAGCAAGAGCAAGAGAAAGCAAAAAGCACATAACACACAAATTGCAATCGCACAAGGTTACAACAAAACAAGATGAGAACAATAGTGTTTAGATTATACCTCTAATTTGAAAAATAAATATAATTGTTTTTTAAGGTGTAAATATTGTTTTTGCACCAAACCACTCAAAACACATTAAAAATGACCAAACTTAAAGAATTTTATAAAGATCAACTTGGGAGTAATAATGAAGTGACCATGTGTCTTGAACACTTATGGACATTACAAGAACAAACATACCACCAGTAGAGCATTAAGCATGTCTAGTTCTTCTACATTTCAACAAGTTCACTTTTCAGCCTTCCATGGCTTAAAAATATCTTAATTCTTTTTAAAGTAAACTTGATATTTTATTATTTAGCTAGGTAAATACTACCCCGGAATGCCAAAACCACAATTTCAATGGCCATATTCCGTATCCTATAAGATAACTCATCGTATGTGTCCTAATTTGTTTTTACATAAATTTGCTTTACTCCCTACTTCTCATCAGTTCTTCAAAAATATGTCTATATGAAGTTTGCCTTTTTTTTCTATTGATAAAATGTGCATAATCATTTCGCTAAGAGAAGTACACTGAACGAGAACCACTTTGAAGTCATGACTTCTTGGCTTGTTAGTCCTTCATATACTATGGCCTAGGCAACATTTCGTTTATGATTTCCTGGCTTGTTGGGCTTCAGCCCACCATGGTCCACATCAGCCCATACAACCATACCCTTTTAGTGCCTTCTTCTCACCTATAGGGTGGGTTCATCTTTGTCAATTGGCCCTGTTCGTCTGAGTGCCGTGCAGCAGCCACGCTATACTTGATGATAGACGCGGCGGCAGCCACAACAGCGCTGTCTTAAATGTAGGAAAAAGTGATAATTACTCATGTCAAAGCAAGGATTTCAACTCAGGAAGGCAGCTATGAAGGAATTCGATGAGTGAAATTTGTGAGTGTTATTTTAAGCTTGGCCACGGGAGCTAATCCTATCCTTAGTTAATCCTTTGTAAGTGTGAATTTATTGATGTCAAAAGTGCACATGTACACTCTTTCTCTCTTACGTTAGTTAATGAAGAAAACTAAGATTTAGGAAAGTTGTCTTGAAAGTTATAGAAAAAGTACTAGTGTCATTCCAAGGGCTGTTAAGCGCATATTTGACATCCTCGAGGCACAGAGTGCAGAGTACAGCATGAAGGTTTCTTTTCTTGAGCTGTACAATGAGGAGCTCACTGACCTTCTCGCTCGACTCGTGGTCGGCTCAGCTCGTTTTAATTTTTTTTACGAGTTGAGCTGGAAGTCTAGCTCGCTATTTTAACGAGCCAGCTTGAGCTAGCTCGCGAGCTGCTCACGAGCTGAGGCCTATCAGCCCATGACCATGAATCCAGAAGATGATGATGCTGACCTAAAAGTGTACATCTATTCTAGTGGTACGTAATCCTTATTTTCAGCTGTTTCATATGAATTTTAATTTTATAATTGTTGTGGTACTTAAATATTGATTTTATGGATTGTTTTCTATGGAGAAGATGATGATGCTGACATTGAATCTGTGGGCTTTCCTAAGTTTGTGGTGGCAAGCAACTAGTTAGTATGCTGGAACTGCATGATTATTGATGGATCGGCTATGTTGCATGGTTGATACTTTTGATGAACCTGATATGTATTAATCATGTATGGTTACATAATGGTGGACGTCACCTTCTGGAATTAATGTAGCATAAACATTATAAACATGTGTGTCATATTTTTTTTTAGTAGCTCACAAGCTAAACGAGCCAGCTCGACCTCGGTAACGTGCCGAGCCGAGCTGCTCCTCTAGCTCGTAATATTAACGAGCCGAGCCGAGCTGACTCGTTAGCCTAACGAGCCGAGCCGAGCTGGCTCGGTATCCAGCCGTACTCTGGACACATATCATACAGGTCAAGCAAACATTAACTATTCAGATTGTTCCTTGAGGCTGTTCAAGCATCTGATATTTGGCTGCTATTCATGCAGGGATAGCAAGCTAACAAGATTGTTAAGAGATTCCTTGGGAGGGAAGACAAAGACTTGCATCATAGCGACCATCTCACCTTCAGTACGCTGCCTTGAGGAGACGCTAAGCACTCTGGATTACGCGCATCGTGCAAAACACATCAAGAATAAGCCAGAGGTTCTGAATTTTTTTTATTGTCAAATTACCATTAATTTCAATGTAAACTTTCTCATGGATAACTAATTTTAATAACTTGCCCATGGTTTCCAGGTCAATCAGAAGATGATGAAATCTGCGCTCATCAAAGATTTGTACTTTGAAATGGACCGTCTCAAGCAAGGTATCCTTTTCTTCTTAGAAACATTCAACACTGCTTATACTTATTGTTGAGAACTTCAGAAAAATACAACAGGATCATTTCCAATCCGAGCATGTGAGTTAATCTTGTGCTCTTGAAATAAAGATGGGTTGAATATTAGCTGATTCTGGGAAACATGGTTACTGCTGGATGAATCTTACTATAGAATCCACCAAATGTGCTGAATGTTTCATTGCATCTTATTCATCTCCTCTATTGTCAGAATTGTTTGACACCATGTACCTGAACACTGTTAAAAATATGACAATTACTCAGTTTAACTATAGATGAACATCTATGTCATCAAATTGTTTACCACATTCTTCCAGTTGTTTGAAAAATTCAGAGACCATGGATGCACATCTGTAAGTGCATAGTCTAGACGAGGTATTTCTAGATTTTAGTTCTTCATTATAGATACACTAAAATCTGCGATCACTATCTGTATATTATTGTTCATCAGTTTTAATTTTCTGAAAAGCCAGATACTTCAAGCTAGTACAGTTACTAAATTTGGTTCTGCTTTTTGAACAGAACTATATGCTGCAAGGGAGAAAAATGGTGTTTATATTCCGAGGGAACAATACTTAGCAGATGAAGCTGAAAAGAAGGTACTTACTCCCTTCATCACTTATGACATATTAGATTGTGCATATTCTTCTATAGCATGACAGAGGAGTTCTTCAGGCTATGTCAGAGAAACTGGATCGTTTGGAGCTTATTTTGGATTCAAAAGATAAGGTATGCCTTTAGTTCAGTTAGAGGATCTGTATCTTGCTGAAAAAAAATAATGCTATAATTCGGAATCTGTAACTGTACCAGCAATTAGAAGAGCTTCAAGGACTCTATGATTCTCAGAAAGTTCTGAGTGCAGATCTTGTTAGATAATCTACTGCTACCTTGTATGAACACAGCAAGGGAAGGCGGCGCCGAAAGGCCCCCTGCTGTGATACTGTAGCCGCTGCAGGTGCAGGCGCCGCACGGCTCACCTGCAGCACTGTAGCCACATGCAGAGGCCGGCGCAGAGTCAGCCCTGTATGTTATCTAGTTACTGTTACAGCATGTGCGCTGTACCAGGACTAGATGGATAGAGTTGTATAAATAGACTACCACGGCAACTCAGTAAAGAGAGTTCAGATTTGCCATATTTCAGACAGGGCTTTGGCCAATGCTGGTGTCTTATACTGTGTGTGCATGCTTTGTTCTCCCTTTTTCTTCAAGCTCTAGCCATAGTGCGTGGGGACGGACAATGCTTGTTCTTGGTCGGCACGGCTAGTGGGTGCTCGACAATACTAGCGGGTGCTCGGCAAGACTGATGAGTGGTTCACTCACCTGAGCCGGTGATCCTGTGGGCCAACAGATCTAAGTGATTAACTTGAGACATTACAGGTATGTGTGCTGTGTACTTGTATTGTCATTTTTCTATCAAAAATTGAATAATGATGTTTGTATTTACAACTTCTCATCTTTTTGCAGAAAAGAATGAAGGAAACAGAGTGCACCCTAGCGGATCTTGAAGCGAAATACATGAAGGCAAATAATACTATTAAGGAGAAGCAATATTTGATAGAAAATCTTCTTAAATCAGGTTACATTTTGCCCCTTCAAGGCAAAGCTTATCATAATGAAGACTTCATTGATTTCTATATGAGTTTGCATATGAAATGTGTTGGCTTAATTAAGCATTTGATAAGGTTCTCTAGCTTGCTGTGTACAGAATGCATGTGAGTAAAATACTAAAATACTGTTTGTTTCATTCCATTCTGCCTTGATACACCTGCACCGTGTTATTTTCATACTTGCAGAAAAAATTTCACATTTTTGGCTGAGGTGATTATGCTTACCATTTCTCTTACGTCCTTTCTTTTTTAAATGTCTTCAGAAAAAGTTCTTGTTGGTGAAGCACAAAGATTCCGATCAGAGCTGGAGAATACAGCAGGGGATCTATATGGGCTATTTTCAAAATTAGGTCTGCCTCCATTTCTCTTTCTCCCTCCCTCTTTCCTTTCTCAATTTAAATATTTATATTCATTCTTAGTATCGATTTTCAGAAAGGAAGGAAAAGATTGAAGATACAAATAGATGTACAATTCAACATTTCCATTCCCAGCTGACTCAAGACATTAGTGTCTTGCATAGAACAGTCTCAACCTTGGTTTCTCAACAGGAGAGCCAACTAAAATCACTTGAAGAAGAGATGCAATCTTTTGTCACCTCAAAGGGCAAGGTGCACCAAAAAGCAAACATGTGGTTATCAGTTCATTCTTTGTCGGTATAAGTCTAACAATGCCGCATTTTCTTAGGTTGCTGGAGGACTTCAAGAGCATGTAAGAAAGCTCAAAGAGAGCTTCAATTCTAGGATAGCAGAATTGCATGGTTTTGCAAATGAGCTCAAGCATAAATCTGTGTTGAGCTTTGAAAACCTTAATTCGCAAGTTATCACACACACATCTGGCCTTGAGGATGTAAGTGTACTTAATTATCTTGAAATCTTCGTATTATGCTCATCATTTTTATTTTTATTCCCTATTTTTGTAAAAACATACTGAGAATTCTTTGGTGTGCAGTGCATGAAGGGCCTGTTGGTTGATGCTGACCAAATACTCATTGCACTACAAAATGGGCTTTCTCAGTAAGAAGTGAACTTTGCTACATTTATTGAGCAGCAGCATGAGGTTCATTATTTATTACAAAATGCTAAATTTTTACCTATTTATTAAGCTCATATTGTTGATTACAGTAGTATAAGAAAAAGTTGCACTCATACAGGGGCTCTTTAGAAATTTGGAGAGAACAAAGTCTGTTTCGACAACTACAATGAACTTCTTCAAAACTATAGATTCCCATGCATTGGAGCTCATAAAGATTCTGGAAGAATCACAGATGGAACATCAAAAGCAACTCTTCCAGCTTCAGAAGAAGTTTGAGGTAATCTTCTGTTGCAGCTGTAAGTTTCTCATTAGTCTGTAAGGATGTATTTGTATGATTTGTTATCTGATGAAATGAAATGGATTCAGGCCTTTGTTGCTGATGAAGAGAAGTACTTGATGGAGAAGGTCTCAGAGTTATTTGCAGAATCGAATGCTAGAAAGAAAAATATGGTATATCTCATTCACTTGAATATCTGGAGGATGCGTAATAATGTATAGGTCAGTACTGTGTGGCCCTTTGTTGTCATAAACCAATGCATATGTATTATTTGGTCATCCTAGTCAAATTTCTTTAGAGAAACATCTACTTGTGCAACAGCTGAAAACCAACTACTGAGCTGACCGAGTGACATATGTGTGTCATTTTACCAGGTTCAAGGTGATATATGCAGCCTCAATAGGACTGCTTCTGAGCGTTCAAACAATTTACAAACTGAAACTACCAAGCTTCATGATTTTACATCTTCTATGAAAGAGCAATGGGAAGCCTACATGAAGAGAACTGAAGAGGCATTCCAACAAAATGTATCATCTATTGAACAGAAACGATGCTTCTTGGCAGGGAATTTGCAGCAGTGGTAAGTTGTCTATCTCAACAGTTAAATTGTTGATTTCATGAGAATCTTAGAACATGGAAACTAACACATATGATTTATTGTACAGCAAGGGAAGGGTAGAATCATGTTCAGAACAATGGGTTACTGCACAAAATTTGGTGTTGGCGCTTGGAAGAAACAATGCAGAAGCCATTGGTTCAGTCATAAGGTAATTGATACTGACAATTGAAGTTTGTTTTGTTGGATAAATAGTTTGAAGAGAAGCAACTTGAACTTGTTGTAAGCTAAACATATGTGCATCCTTTGAATGAAGTGCTGGGAATGAGGTGAGCAACCAACTGGATGCAAGGTTTTCATCTGCTGTCACTGCTGGATTTGAAGATAGTGACATTTCAAGCAAATCCCTTCTTAGTTCTATTGACGGTACTATTTCCGCACAGTGGCACATATTTCTTTTTCCAGCACATGCATTTTCTGTTGTCTAAAATTTCCTGCAAATTGCTGATATCTTTGCCAGATTCATTAAAATTAGACCATGGTATTTGCGACAATGTGAAATCCATCGTGATGACATCCAGAGCAGAACTTCATGACTTGGAACATGCTCACTATGAGAAGACAAAGTAATAACAGCGAATGCCGATAGATCTCTGGGAGATGATTATAAGGTTAGCAATATTAGTCTGCTGGGCATATATATATGCACATATATATAGTTGTTTGTTTTTCTAATATCGAAATCTGTGTTTTATGGGCCAGGTGATGAAGCAACTTGTTCAACACCGAGAAGGCGTGAGATCAACATTCCGGACAGCCAATCGATCAGGGAGTTGGTAACCCCCCTTGAAGATCTCGTGAAAGCATTGTGGGACAGCAGAACACCGACGAAGCTTGCTGTAAATGGAAACGGGAAGCGGCAGTTGGCAGGGTCGACGACACCCAAAACACAGAGAGCCCCTCTTGCCGCGATAAGCTAGGGGCATCATTGCTGTATAGACAAAGTTTCAGGTGGGGCGGTGTCTTGGAATTGAACCATTAAAATCTGCAGTTGGAGGACCAATGCTTTCTGGAGCCTGCTAGGTTTGGTCAAGTAATATTGATCAAGAAGGTTGAGAGGAGTTAATGGTAAAGGTCTCTCTCTGTTTGTATGCATATTTTGTTCAAGATGTTAGGTGTATGTATGTGTTCTTCAGATTCATCCAATGTATGACTGATACTAGCAGGCTGTGCCACTAGTGAATGGAATCATACATGAGGACCGGAGTAGAAGTGCTCCACTCCAATATATGATAATACTAAAAAAATGTCGTCGTTTGATAAGATCCAGAGTGAATCAAGCACTGATACGTAGCCAGCCTTGTTTCCATTTTTTCACTCTTGATTTCAACAGAGATTGCATAGTTACCTTCCTCTGGAGTTAAACTTAGGAGACACTAATAATAACTGGATAAGTCGAACAACCACCACATGCAGTTGGTGGTGGCTAACATATATATATATATATGGTTGTTAACACCCTGAACTCTAGTAGTGATGAGACTTGTGTCGATACGCTAGCCAGTAGCCTAGCATCATATCATGCATTTGAGACCTGCTACTGCATTCTTGGGAGAAAATAACTATGCAAATTACAAAGAAAGAAGACAAGAAAGAAAATCCAATGGGATTATATTCTAATCGATCCATCTCTCTCCCCCCTCCGCCACCCCGAGACCGACCGGAGCAACCTATACCTAGAAGAAACTACTACAAGTATATATCGTATCGATCATTGGGTGAGAGAAACATGTGAATGCAAGCTCCGGCTATGATATACTTATAATAGCAAATACACTGTATATATGGATACTAGAGCACATTTGCCAATCCGCCGACAAATATACTAGCTAGATCGTGTTATATATGATAACTGGTGTTCTTGTCTCCTCTAACGTGTTTCCTCTTATGCCTCTCCATGAATTAAAATCCCACGTTCTTTTTTATTATTATTTTCATGCACTCTGTTGGACCTTAACAGTTGATGAAAAAGACATGCATAATCTATTAGGATGTTTGGTTTGAGGAAAGGAAATCTAGGTGATGTGAAGCATGATCATCTCTCAAATTCGGTGAAATGACCTCATTTCTTGTACCTATACTAATTATTAGCTTGTGTCAAATAAGTTAGTGCTAGATCAACTCATCCATTCCACAAGTAAAAAAATAAGTGAGAAGACGATAAGCTATACCGTAATGGGTAGAGAGACCTCACTCCCGACTTATGTGGCAGGCGGTGATACTACATTTGTGTATGTGTGTGGCTGACTTGCTGCTAGGTCAACAACGAGTGATGTAAGTCAGCACGTGTTGGTTGCATGCCGCGTAGGGGTGGTGCGACTATGGTGGCACTACATAGGGTTGTTTTGACTATCGTTCAATGCTACGCTTCGTTGTGGCATGGTAGGCTAAGCGATGGCTATGTGTGTCTACATTGGGTGTGGCTTGGCTAGGGACAGGAAGTTGTTATCTAGTGTAGGCAGGCAATGGTTGTGCAGGTGTGTGTATTCTTTTGAACCTGGTTTTCACTAAAAAAAAGTAGATCCTTACTTAGCTATATTCTTCTTCTCTTATGAAAACTTGTAGAAAAAATAAATCTCTTTTCTTCTCATAATGGAGATTGAGATGTAACATATCATTCTAGAGAAAAAGATAACTTTTGGATTTGTGTATTCACAGTACCAACAAAGTCACATACATATTTTGTTAAATGAAAAATGAAACATGTAAAAGATATAAAATAACAAAAGTCATTGAGAAGGAAATAAACTGCTGATGCAGGCAATTTTATGTTTAAGTGAAATTTTACAGTGCTTGGAAATAATAAGAGCCCTTCATCTAACAAGATCTAATGGTTTTAAAATAGGAAGAATCAATTAGACAGAACTTAAGTGGCGGACCGGAACCTGAAATAAGTGGGCCCAGAACCTGTTCCTAATTTAATAGGAAGGACATCATAGTAATTGTGATTCTCCAAATTGATTACCGTCAGTGTCGTCGGCGCGTACATGACTTCCGCCGTATGACTTCATCGCCACGGGCTCATGTGGAACTACGAGGAGGTGATACCGTCAAATGCCTTGCTAGCAAGCACCAGATTGCGAAGGATCGATTTCCAGCCTCTCGTTGACAAGGCCGTGAGCAAGCTCACTGTTTGGAATGGCAAAAATATTAACCATGCAGGAAGGTCCACTTTAGTCAAAGCAGTACTCACCTCCCAAGCTGTGTATTGCCTCACATCCCTAAGAGCTCCTAAAGCCACGCCGAAGGAAATTGATAACCTTAGAAAGAGTTTCCTCTGGGCTGGATCCGTGAAGCTAACTGGGAGGAAATGCAAAGCGAATTGGCCACGTTCCACAAGACCAACTGAATCTGGGGGTCTCGGCATTCTACATCTTGGAAAATTTACAAGAGCAATACGTCTCAGCTGGCTATGGAAAGAATGGGAGGGAGAAAGAAGGCTGCTAACCAACTCAGACACACCATGTGACACGACTGATAGGCTCCTATTCGCTGTGGCAACATCAATCACAGCTGGCGACGGTAGGAGAACATCCTTCTGGAGCAGCGCGTGGCTCCAAGGTCAAAGGCCCCAAGATCTAGCGCCAAATATGTTCCAAATTTCAAAAAATAAAAACAAGTCACTCAACGAAGCTTTGCACAACAGAGCCTGGATTAGGGACATAGACTTGCGGCATGCAGGTTTCACTTCCCAACACTTTGTGGAGTATGTCCAGCGTTGGCACGCCCTAAACCACTTTCACCTCCAATTAGACAGGGAAGACAACATCATTTGGAATTTCATGCCAGATGGAAAATTTACAACAAGATCGGCCTACCATGCGCAATTCATTGGATCAACGACGACCAATTTCAAACGACTGATTTGGAAAGTCTGGGCACCACCAAAATGCAAGTTCTTTGGGTGGCTCGCCATCCAAAACAGAATCTAGACCTCCGATAGGACTACAAGCGTGAGCATGGCCAAATAATGGTGTGTGTTCTCTTTGCACACACAGTCAAGAATCTGGAGTCCATCTCTTTCAAGACTGTCGTTACACTAGGCATATTTGGGAGGGTATTGCAATATGGCTAGGCAACGAACACCTCCGATCTTCCGCCTGGGTGCTAGGAGACTCCGTACAAACTTAGTGGGAAAACTTAGATCGAACACCTTCGACGGCGAGGCGAGTACTACGCTCCATTATCATTCTTGTTTGTTGGGAGGTGTGGAATGAAAGAAATGCAAGAATCTTTGAGCGCAAAGAATCCGCACCAATGCATCTCCTCCAGAAGATCAAGGAAGAGGTTGGCTTGTGGGCAATGGCGGAAGCAAAGCATATCTCTAATTTATTATTGCGCGTGTGATTTGAGGCCATCTGAGGTGGGGCGTGTCGGGCTTTTTGCCCTTTTGTACACAATTGTATATGTTTGTACGGTGCCTTTCTAGTCTCCCTTCTTTTTAATACAATAGGTAGCTCTCCTATCGGTTCCGTTTAAAAAAAAAGAAACTCGATTTGCTGAGTTGGGATTGACCGTAATCTGCCTTGCAATTGAGATCGCTGCCTCTCCAGGATGGTTGGGTGCAGGTGGTTCATTTTGTCAGTCACAGCCCGGTCTGCGCCATGCCGCCATCCATCGTGATCCCCATCACATCGGCCTCCTCCTCCCAGGAGCCCCACCACTCCATGCGTTTTGGCTTTGATAGTCAAAAGTACCGAGCCCTCAGGTTCGCCTTGCGGCGGCCGGCATGTCTGTGGCAGGTTTATGTGAAAATGGTTGTAACGTGATCCTTCCGGCTCCGTGTTAAATAGAGCTAGGAAAAGCCCCTGGCGTGGCTTACATCTTGTACAACAAGTAGATACATCTTATCTCTATCTCTACTGACTTACAATACAAGACTACAACAAACTAGAGTCTAACCTAAGGAGCCGCAACAACCTTCTGACTTGATGAGCAAATCACGTGTACACCACACCGGAAGATATACCAGCAATACATGGATTGGGAACCAGATATTTCAACTGTTTAAAGTCGAACAGCATGTGGGAGCAACTACGACTCAGGGAGGCGAGCGCCGGCGACGCGGACGGCGGCGGCGGCGGCGGCGTGGTCTTGAGATCGTGAATTTCACGCGCTAAAGAAAAAGGAACGTCAATTAGAGTTAATGACTGGCTAAAAGTACTAAAGTAACTCCCAAGTACAGTAACAAAGCTCTTAAATCATGTATGTACAAGACTAGTACACAAATGTTGTCTTGTGTGCATCACACTCATGGATACGATTGATCAGGAAATAAACAACGAGCAGAGGCAATATATAAAAGAAAAGTTATATATAAAATAAAGCGAAAGGCAATATCAAATTTCTTTCTAGTAAAAGAAAATCCCGTGCAGAGATGTATATGAAGTTAACTAGCAGAAGGGAAAAAGCAATATATAAAATATAAATTAAAGCGAGCAGCATTTCTACTCATGCATGATGCATCTATATCTATCTATGGGTGGCAGCTGTAGTGATGATCAGCTATACTGATGGAGGAGACTCCAAGGTAGGCGGCCAGCATCTCGTCGTCGTCGGCACAGAGCTCTGCTAGGTTGATGCCCCCCTCCTGCACTGCCGGCCACCACTCCGGCGCTGCTGCTGTTGCCGCCGGCGAGTCTGACTCTGACTCTGACTGATGTGCTGCTGCTGGGACATGAACATGGTGGTCTGCAACTGCATCCGCCTCCGTCTCTGTGTAGTCGCCGCCGTTGCGCGCGAAGCGGCCCTTCACCCGGGGACGACTGTCTGCGAGCGTCTTCCTGCACGCGTACTGCATGCGCCGCCATTCATTTGCGTATGTTAGAGGAAGCAGCTATAGCTAGCTGAAACCAACCAAACCAATATATATGTTGCAGCAGGCAGACCGTGATCTTCTTTTGGAAGTTGCGTTGGTTGC